AAAGCTCTGTTAATTTCCATTTGATCAGCAAATAACGTACCACTTTGTAATCAGCAAACTCAGAAGCAACTTTCCTCATCCAAAGCATTGCTAAAATACGGTTTTTAAATTTTTCGAAATTTTTCCTAGGGGTACCCCTATAAAATTCTGAGATTTCCAAGATCAAGAGCAATTATACTTTATAAACTACATGGGACCGGAGATGATTCCTTCTCCCTGTTATATACATAACGATAAAAGCAATATTCCCGTTCATTCTATGACCGGGTAACACGATGAGAAAATATATAAGAAATTGTCAGTAGAACGGGGTCCGAACTAATTTAATTTAAATTTCATTGCGTTAAATATACAAATAAAATCTAAGCCATATCGATTGTTCCATACTGAGGCTGAAATGGGTATAAAAACCCAGAGGAACATTTGGTTTATTTTATTTGTAACTCAACTACAATTTTTAGGTAAAGTTTTTATTTTCGTTTGGCTATTTTTAGCTTTACCGTGGGCCATCCTATGCGGCAGACACAAAAAGTTTAAGATACCAAAAAAAACACGAATCCCAATATATAATGCTTCATAAAACAATAAAATGAAAAAACCAAAATTTCCATAACTTTGATACCCGATACTAATTATTCTCTTCCAACTACTCCATTTCTTTTTTTGAAGGTTATTCTTAAACAAATTAACTTTTCACTGTATAGATCACTGTTGTATATAGACAAAAAAAATACTCTGTATTTGTATTTGTAGCTGTATTTGTATGTAAGATGATAGCTCTTACAATATGAAATTGTAAATAGAACCGAGATGGAACTGTTTATAAGAGGATGAATATTTCATACAGATTAAAGCTTAACGAAATCAATTGTTCCACACTGGAACTGGAAAACATATATAAAGACAGGTGACTAATTGTTTTATTTTAATTGTACCAAAAACTCAACAAAAATGAAGTTTTTTTTTTGACAGTTGGGCTATTTTTGACTTTACCGTGGCTGACCCTCTGCGTTCGCAAATTTGACTTCCGTATTAGGATAAAGTGGGGCAAGGAGCCAAAAGTTCCGAAAATTCCGAGGAGATATCCTTATTAAAAAGCATAACTTAAAAATGTAAAAAATATATTAAATAAAAGAGTAATCGAATTTACCTTCTGCTTTTCACCCGATACCCATTACTATTTGTTTTCTTAAACCCCACCATTTCTTGGTGAAAGTCGTAAAATGCCTCAATTTCGTTGGAAAAAATTCGAAAAATTTTAAAACCATATTTTGGAAATGTTTTGAATGAGGAAAGTCGCTTCTGAGTTCGCTGATTACTGAACGGTACTTTACTTCCTGATCGGATACAATTTGGCAGAGCTATGGCCATCGGAAGCCGCAAAAGTGGGAAAATGGGGAAATCTTAGAATTTGATAGGGAAAAATACGGTTTTTTTTAAAAATTTTAAAACCATATTTGGGAAATATTAAATATATATATAAATATTATTTGGGAATAAGTTTTTTTAAAAACCGTATTTTAGCAATGCTTTGGATGAGGAAAGTTGCTTCTGGGTTTGCTGATTACAAAATGGTACGTTATTTCCTGATCGGATGGAAATTAACAGAGCTATGGCCATCGGAAGCCGCAAAAGCGCAAAAATTGGAAAATGGGGAAATCTCAGAATTTTCTAGGGGTACCCCTTGGAAAAATTTCTAAAAATTTAAAAGACGAATTTTGGCAATGTTTTGGATGAGGAAAGTTGCTTCTGGGTTTGCTGATTACAAAATGGTACGTTGTTTCCCGATCGGATGGAAATTAACAGAGCTATGGCCATCGGAAGCCGCAAAAGTGGGAAAATGGGGAAATCTTAGAATTTTATAGGGGTACCCCTAGGAAAAAATTCGAAAAATTCTAAAACCGTATTTTAGCAATGTTTTGGATGAGGAAAGTTGCTTCTGGGTTTGCTGATTACAAAATGGTACGTTATTTCCTGATCGGATGGAAATTAACAGAGCTATGGCCATCGGAAGCCGCAAAAGTGGGAAAATGGGGAAATCTTAGAATTTGATAGGGAAAAATACGGTTTTTTTTAAAAACCGTATTTTAGCAATGCTTTGGATGAGGAAAGTTGCTTCTGGGTTTGCTGATTACAAAATGGTACGTTATTTCCTGATCGGATGGAAATTAACAGAGCTATGGCCATCGGAAGCCGCAAAAGTGGCAAAATGGGAAAATCTCAGAATTTTATAGGGGTACCCCTAGGAAAAAATTCGAAAAATTATAAAACCGTATTTTAGCAATGTTTTGGATGAGGAAAGTTGCTTCTGGGACTTTCCAGAAGTTAACAGAGCTATGGCCATCGGAAGCCGCAAAAGTGGGAAAATGGGGAAATCTTAGAATTTGATAGGGAAAAATACGGTTTTTTTTTAAAAAAAAACCGTATTTTAGCAATGCTTTGGATGAGGAAAGTTGCTTCTGGGTTTGCTGATTACAAAATGGTACGTTATTTTCTGATCGGATGGAAATTAACAGAGCTATGGCCATCGGAAGCCGCAAAAGTGGCAAAATGGGAAAATCTCAGAATTTTATAGGGGTACCCCTAGGAAAAAATTCGAAAATTTTAAAAACCGTATTTTAGCAATGTTTTGGATGAAAAAAGTTGTTTCTGGGTTTGCTGATTACAAAATGGTACGTTATTTTCTGATCGGATGGAAATTAACAGAGCTATGGCCATCGGAAGCCGCAAAAGTGGCAAAATGGGAAAATCTCAGAATTTTATAGGGGTACCCCTAGGAAAAAATTCGAAAAATTATAAAACCGTATTTTAGCAATGTTTTGGATGAGGAAAGTTGCTTCTGGGACTTTCCAGAAGTTAACAGAGCTATGGCCATCGGAAGCCGCAAAAGTGGGAAAATGGGGAAATCTTAGAATTTGATAGGGAAAAATACGGTTTTTTTTTTAAAAACCGTATTTTAGCAATGCTTTGGATGAGGAAAGTTGCTTCTGGGTTTGCTGATTACAAAATGGTACGTTATTTCCTGATCGGATGGAAATTAACAGAGCTATGGCTATCGGAAGCCGCAAAAGCGCAAAAATTGGAAAATGGGGAAATCTCAGAATTTTCTAGGGGTACCCCTTGGAAAAATTTCTAAAAATTTAAAAGACGAATTTTGGCAATGTTTTGGATGAGGAAAGTTGCTTCTGGGTTTGCTGATTACAAAATGGTACGTTGTTTCCCGATCGGATGGAAATTAACAGAGCTATGGCCATCGGAAGCCGCAAAAGTGGGAAAATGGGGAAATCTTAGAATTTTATAGGGGTACCCCTAGGAAAAAATTCGAAAAATTCTAAAACCGTATTTTAGCAATGTTTTGGATGAAAAAAGTTGTTTCTGGGTTTGCTGATTACAAAATGGTACGTTATTTTCTGATCGGATGGAAATTAACAGAGCTATGGCCATCGGAAGCCGCAAAAGTGGCAAAATGGGAAAATCTCAGAATTTTATAGGGGTACCCCTAGGAAAAAATTCGAAAATTTTAAAAACCGTATTTTAGCAATGTTTTGGATGAAAAAAGTTGTTTCTGGGTTTGCTGATTACAAAATGGTACGTTATTTTCTGATCGGATGGAAATTAACAGAGCTATGGCCATCGGAAGCCGCAAAAGTGGCAAAATGGGAAAATCTCAGAATTTTATAGGGGTACCCCTAGGAAAAAATTCGAAAAATTATAAAACCGTATTTTAGCAATGTTTTGGATGAGGAAAGTTGCTTCTGGGACTTTCCAGAAGTTAACAGAGCTATGGCCATCGGAAGCCGCAAAAGTGGGAAAATGGGGAAATCTTAGAATTTGATAGGGAAAAATACGGTTTTTTTTTAAAAACCGTATTTTAGCAATGCTTTGGATGAGGAAAGTTGCTTCTGGGTTTGCTGATTACAAAATGGTACGTTATTTTCTGATCGGATGGAAATTAACAGAGCTATGGCCATCGGAAGCCGCAAAAGTGGCAAAATGGGAAAATCTCAGAATTTTATAGGGGTACCCCTAGGAAAAAATTCGAAAATTTTAAAAACCGTATTTTAGCAATGTTTTGGATGAAAAAAGTTGTTTCTGGGTTTGCTGATTACAAAATGGTACGTTATTTTCTGATCGGATGGAAATTAACAGAGCTATGGCCATCGGAAGCCGCAAAAGTGGCAAAATGGGAAAATCTCAGAATTTTATAGGGGTACCCCTAGGAAAAAATTCGAAAAATTCTAAAACCGTATTTTAGCAATGTTTTGGATGAGGAAAGTTGCTTCTGGGTTTGCTGATTACAAAATGGTACGTTATTTCCTGATCGGATGGAAATTAACAGAGCTATGGCCATCGGAAGCCGCAAAAGTGGGAAAATGGGGAAATCTTAGAATTTTATTGGGGTAACCCTAGGAAAAATTTTGGAAAATTTAGAAATCGTATTTTAGCAATGCTTTGGATGAGGAAAGTTACTTCTAAGTTTGCTGTTTACAAAATGACAATCTATTTCGGACATTCAGAATACTCAGGTAATGCAAAAAGTTATTCCCATGCATTTATATTTAATATCATTTATTTTTAACACCGTAAAGCTCAATTTTCAGCATTAAAATCCACTCTAGAGTTGTAGAGACAATAATAAAACACAGTTTCGTTTGGCGCTAGCCCATAATTCGCACTCATTAACTTATTCCCACGAACTTATAGCGAATTTTCGGAACTATTCCAAGCATTTCATTGCGAGACCTTGAAAGAGCACAGAGCTTGGGGTCGCTAAGGAAGAGAGGTAGCAGAAGCACAGCGGAAGAGAGTGCAGCATGGAGCACGGCGAATTCAGGAGGCGCCACCAACTTTTCCCGAGCCCCACTGTTCCCGAGGCGAGGGCAACAAACACGAACGCTGATAAAGGTTCGTGGGCGGTCGGAAGAGGGCCCTCGTGTCGCCGACTTTTGGCAGAAATCAGTTTCAGTTTCTGTTTTCTGTTTCAGTTTCAACGCGACATTGACGGTGAACGAACGGAAGGCGACGAAGGCGCGGCAGGTGCGTGAAAGTCCCTAAAGAAAAGTTTATGTGAAAATGTAAGGCCCAAATACGTGAGACGCGACACTTTCCCAGACCAGAGCTTATGTGTGTGTGTGTGTGGCAGTGTTGTACTTGTGCCAAGTTCAAAAGCAAAACATAAGAAAAAAACCCAAACGGATAAGAAGAGCGGGCACAATTGGGTCGTAAATTTTGGAAAACGTGTGAAAACGCAGGAAAAGCCTCATTGCCTCATTGCCGGCAGTCGAAAATTGAATGACCTTTTGTCGCATTTGTTGTTATTGTTGCTCCAGTTACTGCTACTGCTGTTACCGCTCAGCACGCGAATATTTTACGACATCGTCTCCAAAATTATATTTAGTATATGGGATTCATTTCCAAAAAAAAAAACAATGAAAATATAACAAAACCAAAAGAAACTCAAACTGTATAAAAAAACGTAAAAAATATAAAGAAATTTGTTGCGTGTTTGTAGCTTGTCGGCTTGTCAGCTGGGCCTGTGGCGACAAAAGACCCGCCGAAGAAACGTCTGCAGCCAAACAAATTATAAAAGTGTTAAACGCCCCCACAACGACCTCTAGCCACGCCCCCATTGCCGCTCTAACGCCCACGTCTCATTAGCATGCAGCAAATTAAGCCGTTTTATATTTAGACAGGCTGGAGGGGCAGTGGGCGCATAGGGGGCAGTCGTCGCATTGCCCAAAATACAAATTAACAAATTATACAAAAAAAAACCAAACAAAAAAACGAAAAACAGTGGCAAACTATCTTTGATCTGCGGCCGGTCTGCGTCAAAACACACCAGAATCGCAGACCCCCAAATATCGAAAGTGTAATCCAATATTCCTCCCGCCTGGCTGAACTCTCAAAGAATGTGAATGTGACAAAAATTAATAGAAAATACATAAAATATTAACGAGAAAAGCTGGCAGGGGTGCGCAGGAAAATTTACGACAGATTCATTGCTGCTGATCACAGTGCGTATGCGCAATGTGCGGCGTTGTTTTCGCAATTCTTGTTTCGAGTGGTGTTGGCTGCTTAAGAAAATCAACTTTCGAAGGGGCGAAACTTTGTTTCTGTTTGTTTCAACTGCACTTGATGGAAAAGTTTTGCACACAAGACCTGGAAGTCGTCAAGTGTCGAGTATTTTTTTACTTTTCAGCGTTTTCCTTTTCATTTTCAGCAGCTTTTGAGGCCCGTCAGTTTGTATTCTGCGATCCCCAAACAAAATTTAATTGTTTTCCTTCATTGTTTTGTCTGACATGAAAATCGGGGAACCTTCCTCAATAAAATATGCATAAGCCCGGGACTTACGGCCACACAATAGAACTAACAAGCCCGAAGGAAGGAAGGAGCAGGCACCAGAGGGCGAAAAATTAAACCCACCCGGAACTAAAGTTGCCTCCTAATCACAGATACTAAGCATTAGAGCAGACACTGGCCCCGGGCTAAGAGCTAAGAGTCGAGTCGAGCAACAACAAAGAGCAGACGTTTACAATTAAAGACGGGGGGTGAGGGGAAAAGGACTTCAAGGATGCCAGAGGATTTCCACTAGCTGGGGGTGTAGGGGGAGAAAGAGAGGCTAAAGGACTGAAACGAAAGAGACGGACAGAGCAATGGAGTGCGTTAACACTTTTGAGCGACATTGCTGACGTTGGCAGGAGTCTCAGTCCCAGAATCTCCTCCGAACTCCTGGCTCCCTCTCTAATTCCATTACGGAAGCAACAGTGACAAGTGGCCGAGGATTCGTAGAAGGATACGTAGCTGGGGAGCAGGACAACATGTCAGCAGCAGCCACTCCTGATTGAAGACACATAGAGAAGAGGTTGCACAGAAAAAAAAATCATTTAAATTCCAAACCTTTTATGTCAGAACTCCTGTGAGTTACTCGTCCAACACCAAGTCCACATTATGTAGAGAATCATTAAAAGTCACCTGGATATAAGCCACATGATGTCATGTTATTTTTTCTCTCTGCTGAAAAGGGCAGACCTGCAGCTGAACCTCGGAATTAATCCACTCCCCCGATGTCATTAGTGTTAGCCTGTGTGTCCCTCTGCCGGCGAAGTTTGCAATTAATTAAGTTTTAATTAATTTCACATAGCGAGGGAGCATTTTTCTTTCCAGGAAAGCACCGACACCGTTTTCCAGTGGGCGTGTGAAAAAGGCAATTCCCCAGCAAATGTTTAACAAATTAGATGCGAGGGAAATGCTGGCCAAGAAACAGTAAAGTTTCTCCCCTGGGACAGGCAATTGATTGATGCCAAAGTAAATGGATGGCAATAGGTCTAGATTCTAGAAATAGCCACCGGCTGTGGCTCTATGTGTGTCGTATGTGAGAAAGAGGCGTGATACTCGTGGATGGCTTTCAAGAGTTTCCTGCCAAACACTCCTCATAATTTGGGGGCTTTTTGGGGCTTGAGGAGGCGGAGATTTATTTTTGGCCTCGGACACGAGTTCGGCTTATGAAATATGCAGGCGAACCCGGACCGTTCCAACTTCAGAAGCTGATTTTCGGGGGTTCGGGCATTAAGTTTAGTTAATAGTATATGGGAAACTTTTAGATTTGTAGCTGGGCGTTGCCCCACGGCAAGGACCTTCTAATTTGTAGTACAAACTTGGCTGATTCTCGGGAAAGGGAAAACTTTTCCTGATAGTGGAATAATTCCAATTAAATAGAACTCTTGCGGTTTGAGAGGCGATAGATGCCCGGTAAGATTGAATCGCTTTCATAATCCTTTCCAATTAGCCTTCTATAAATTGCTTCTTTTGTTTACTGATGTTTCGAGTATTTTCTTGGGTAGCAGGGCCATTTGAGAGTTTTTGAAATTGCAATATAACAATGGTCCCTACGTGCAGCCAACACACTCAATCAAAATCTGGCTTATCATACCAGTCAGGAACACAAATTTAATCAATTTATGTTCCATAACAGAGTAACGGCAGCAAAACAACCACAATGACAATAAAAACAAAACAAATGCAATTCTTTTAAAAGATTTTTTCAGCCTCAGACGAAAATCAATTTTTTTTTTGGGCCACGTTCCAGGCGGAAAGAAAATAAAAACTTGTTCATGGAAATTCAGAGTGAGCAGGGTGAAAAAAACAATAAAAAATATTATTCCGGACGAGCCTAGGACGAGCCAAAAGACCAAACACAACTGCAGCAGTAGCAGCGCAGGACAACAAGGACGCGAGCGAGCAACAACAAGGACATTGCTGAAAAAGTTCAACAAACGACCGTTAAAGGATTAAATTGTCTGCCATTGATATTAAGTGTTTTAAATGTCATTGCAAGTGTTTAATTCACGCGAATCGCAGAGACAAAATGCAAACAGAAATGGAAACACAGCGAAAAACCAGGGAAACGATTAAGGATTTTCAGATTAATCACCAAACGCATAAAACTAAAAACGAATAAAAACTCAGTTGTTATATTAAAAATATAACCATCCTTATAAAACTAAGAGTACCTCTTTTGAAGTCCTTTCGTTTTTCTCTGTGTATTCTAGGCCTGTTGCAAGCAAAGACACAAAAAAGTGCAGTGTGTAAATAGGAGGAATCAAAACAAGAATATATATTTCCCCCAGAGATTGCCATAGATCAAAGCTAGTAGAGCAAACAAAGTGCGAATTGATAGCACACAAAACAAACTGGGCTAAAAAAAAGGGATAAACTTGGCAATAAAACTGCTAGAAAGAGAGCTGAGCTGAGCTGCAAGTGATAGAGACAGAGGCACACCGAGCGGGTCATCACAAAATGTTGACCCTGTGGACGGCGCTTTTTTGCTGCCTGACGGGTAAGTCAAGTTTTCAGTTCCACTAAACCCCCACAACCCTAACCTTATATCCCATATTCTATATCCTGTTTAAGCATGCATAAGATTATCAGCCGTATATATATGTATATCCTTGTAGAATATAGGCCCTCCTGCTCAAGGTTATTATTGTTTCTGCCGCGCGCCGGGCGCTGAATCCTTTTAAAAACATTTGTGGTTGGGGCTGCGAAAATCCTGATTTATGTTTTTGCCTGCTGCGTTGTCCTTGCAATCCTGTGCTGCTGTTCTGACATGGCCACTGCCAACCACAGCAGGACCCAAGAAGCAGTAAGAGAGGAAGAGTACTCGAAGAAAAGGATATCTTAATAGATGTGATTTTATCTTTAGATTAATGGTTTAATTGAATAATACATATATATAATTTTAAGTCGCAATAGTCTTACCTTAAGATAGTCTATTACCTTACCTTAAGAATATAGTTTAAATAAAACTGATTGAAAATAATCTGATACCTATTTTTTCTCTGTGTAAAAAGCGTTCAACCAAGGCAAACAAATGCGGTCGCTTGTTGGTCGCTTGGGGTCGTTTTTAAGGGCATATCGCATAACAGAAGCTCCATTGAGAAACGAGCCAGTGGCAAGGGTTATGGGGTTGGGGCGAGGTGCCGGTGTCACTGCACTTTAAATTTTAAACTCGACGCAAACATACACAAATTGCTTTCTACACATAATTATGCATAATTGAAAAGTGTAATTATGCCCGGGACTCCGACTTTATGAGCCGCAAACTGAAGGCTCAATCAGGCGTAGAGCAACAGGCGGGGGGGGTTAAATGGCAAGAACTGGTCGTTGGGCTGATGGGCTGATGCTACCACCCGGCTATCCACTCAAGCGCAATGTTTATGATTCGCAAGTCCTTTTAATTGCGTGCCGCCTGCAAGAGCAGGAAAGCCAAGAAAAAGCCAAGGAGTCCTGCAATCGAGTCCTAGGAAAAGTATCCTCTGCCTCATTTCTGCCAGCTTCCTTCCCATCTATTAAGAAAAACTTCTCCTGACACGGGCAGACTCTTCTTGATTCTTGGTAAAAACATGATGGGGGAAAAATGCTTTCAGTCAAAATGAAAAATAAGCAATTTGACACATTTTTTAGCTTTTCCTAAAAACGTGACATTAAAACGGTTTAAGAAAATGTTTAAAGGATGTTTCTTTTTGAAGTTTTTAAGATGATCCTATAGATGGGTTGATTTAAGGTCTAGAATCTAGAATATAGAACAAATTTCAAAAAAAACCAAACTACTGATTTTTTAAGGAATTTCCTTCAAGGATCATTCCTGAATCAGGACTAGATACTTTCTTCTTTAGGCACTTTCTTGAAAGGCATTACTCTGTCAGTCGATATTACATGGAAAGCTAAGCCTTATCGATCCTAACTCTATATGTATTAGTACACTTTATATTCAGCTACCTTTTCCTCTTCATTTCTCTGTCATTTGGCTTTAACTTTCCCATTGTTTGTGTCCTTTGTTTGGGCTTTTGCTCCTGCCAGTGTTGCCATGTGTTTTTATTGCATTAATTTTTATGGTCGCTTGCTTTTGTTGTTCTTTGTTCCGTAGTTGGTCCGATTTCTTATTGTTTTTGTTGTGGTTGTTTTTATTATATTTGTTGTTGTTGTGTGTTTGTTGCTACTGGCGTTACCGTTGACGGCTTTTGTTTTACTTTGTTGCGTATGCCCCAAAGTAATAAAGCGAATTGGTTTTCTTCAAATAATTTCCATTTTAAATCCAGTTGGCAAATCCCCGCCCACTTTAGAGGATTGTTGTTATTTTTTTTCTTTTAAGACTGGAAGCGTTTTTCCCGCATGTTGTTGTTTTACTTTGGCTGGGTTGTGGGCGCTAAGCAAGAGTGGCTTCATTTTCCCGCATAAAACGCTTCCCAAAAGTTTTTGGCCGAGATTTGTAGTCGTTTGCCCAAAAGTGGCAACTGGCAACTGCCAAGTGGCAAGTGGCAAGTGGCGTTTGCGATTGTTTCTCATTGCGCTTATCCTTCCTATATATATAGATATAGACTACTTGAAATTCATCACCCCTTGCCTGGTTTTCTTACGCTGTCAGTTGTCAATGGAGGACTCAAAATTTAATTGAAATTTAGTGTAAACACAATGACAGGCAGTCGATTATCCTGCTACTGCGGCTCCGAACAGCTCTTGCTTCAATTCCTGTTCCTTTTCCTGTTTAAAGGATATACACACACATACACTGTGTGTATACAGAGAGGGAAATTTCAATAACCTGATAAAGGATAATGAGAAAATATAAAATCATAACAGAAAAAAAGCTGTGGGAAGTCCATTTCTAAATAGAAATTATTGAGATAACTTTTATCTCGAAGCTTCAATTAATTATCAAACTTAATATATTTTTTTTTTCAGTGCTGTATTCACTGTATTTCGTCGGCAAATCCTTTTGCGCGCAAATCCTGTCAAGTTTGGCTTGACTTTCCAATTTGCCATCGTTCGCCCCTTGTATGTGTCAAAAAACTTGGAATCGAACCGCTTTCCCCCCGCTATAACTTCCAGATATCCCGTCAGCCCCCCTCTTCTACCCGCAAGTACATAACATTTCACACGTGTCACTGAGCAGTGAGTTGTTGGCTGTCAAGATGCCACAACCCCTCGAACGAGCCGCCCCTCCGATCCGGCAATCCTCCAAAAACTGGAATCCAATCCGGCTGCCAAGACAACCAACAGCAACAACAACAAATGAGGCGGGCCTGTATTAACATTCACTCACAAAAGTCGCAGGACAATCCTCCGCAGGACCTCTCCAGCGGGCCCCCCTTCTGCCTCAAATTGTTTGCCTATTTGCTTTGTGCATATGGAAATGAAATGGCAAACAAGACTGGGAGCTGAAGTGGAGCAGAGAAAGGCTTGGGAAAATTAGGTTGACACAGGCCGGAGTGTTGCCACTCCCTGCCCCTACATACACACACCAACAAACACCATCAATTGGCCAGAAAGACTTGCCCCCAGAAGTTGCAGCAACAGCTAAAATGCATTTATTAGCTTCTTGCCATTTGATTGGTTTTATATTGAAGAAAAAGAAAATCCCAAGAATAAATTTAAATAAATACACAAACAATCTGCAAAAGACTCGGCATATGTGTTGGAGGCAATACATAATCAATAAAATATCTTTTATTACAGAACCAAAAAAGCTTCTATTGAAATTGTCAATTCAAGAAACCAGTCATTGCAAAAATAAATCAATTTTGCTTGCATTTAGTTTTCTTCAAAAGAAAACGATTTCTTGAGGAATTAATCCATCCATTTGATGGAATATTAAGTGCCATTAGACTATTAAAATTAAGCAACTGCATTTCATCAAATTTAATGTAATTTGAATTGGTTATCAGGCAATCAATTGAGGTAATAGTGTTGGCATAGTTGGCCCAATTAAGCAGATTGTTTGGCCTAATTGGAGTTAAAACAGGAAATAACCTGTTAAAGAACAATCAGACACCCAGTGTATCATAATCGTTTTGATTAACGATATCCCATAAGTCAACCCACTGATACTGGAAACTCTCACTCTCCAGCGACACCGCTTAACCCTTTTTTCTGCTTCTCCAATTGCCACCCGAAGCGTTGATTGCCCCTTTTTAACCCTTTTTTTTTTGTTTTGTTAAATGGGAAAGCGTGCGCTTGAAAAACTTGAAAAATTCCAGGACTTCTAGTGTTTCGCCTTTTTGGGATGGCAGTTCATTTCGCTGGTTTATTCTTCTTTTTTCCTGTTTGGGGGGTCTGCCATTTGTATCCCTTGTAATAGGGTTGCCTATTTTCAATTCTTCGCCACTCATTTCTTTATTTTGCTTATCGGGGCACAGGAATAACAAAAAATCCCTTAGAGAGCTGGCCAAGTTGGAGTAAGGGGAAAATAAAGGCGAATAGGAGCATGAACAAATTGTTTACGGATGTGTTTGTGACTCGTTCCTCTGGAAAATAAGAGGAACGAAAATAGGAAAAATCAAACTAGAGGGAAAAAAATGGCAAAAAAGCTAGAGAGGATGTAGCAAAAATTCATAACAAACTACATTTCATGGCATTGTGTCTGTGTGTGCCGAGGAAATTCACTTGACTTTTGGCCACCATTTTTTCTTTTGGCTCCTGAGGTTGAGGCTGGGGACTTTCGGGCATAAACAAGCTCCGGGCAGAACTGCTGCAGTTGTCGCCGCTCAGGGCCAACAATGGCCAATGTAGCCAATAGGTAGAACCCACACTACCGTACTGCCACAAAAACCCATTCTGCCAGCACTTATTTATGGCCATTTGTCGGCGGAGTTGGCCAAGCCAGGACTTTCATGGCATCTTTATAGGACCCCCACACTATATGCATATCACACACAGCATGTTTGTGCAGCAGTCGAAAAGTTTGCAACTTTAAAGTCAACAGATCCAGAGACTTAAAAATAAAAACACATCTTGGCCAAAGTTTACTTTGCAATTTATTCCTGGCTCTTGCTTAAGTTGCAACTTTATTTATCCTCTTGTGTGAATACTGAATCTATTGCCAACTGAATCCTTTAATCACTCCTTGGGCCAGTTCGATCTCTGCATTGCTTATTGAATACATAATCCAGTTCAAATACTTGAAAAATCATCGGGAAAACCGTTCTCAATTGAGGCCGTAATTGGCAAAGGCTGGCCAGCATCTAGGCCAGCTAACAGATAGTCACAGGACAGGCCAGTGCCTCCACGGCTGTTTTTATTATTTCGCTAAATTGATTTTGAATTTAGTTCAATGTTTATGGTCAAGTGATTTCATTTCTGTGTCAACCGGCAGGGAGGAAGCTGTGGCCCTGGGAAGGTGCCTCAATTTTTGGCCTTTGTCTAACTTATAAATCATTTGTGCGACGATGCGTAAGGAAAAACACCCCAAAGAGCTTTAAGAACCGACCATCGGGCCGGGCCTCCCCTACTATCCAGGGATTATCCAGGAGCCCAAAAATAAATATGTGAAACGAGGTA